TAATTATTATCCAACGTTCGTCTGAATAAGAGTCGACTCTTGAGTCATCGTAATATCGTGGAAAGTGGTTGCATAACGACATTTGTTTCATTAACTCTGGAACGCGTCAGTCGTTGATTTTTAGTTGCCAATTAATTATTTTATCGACCGATTGTCACCGTTAAATTATGTCAAAAAATGAATTTCGTTGGCAGATTACTTTACGGACTTGATAAGAAAATGATCGAGACACGTGCGTCTCACAAAATTGCGGTAGAATTCTATTTATTCGAATTGCAGTTTATATAATGGGAATTCACTGATCCTCCAGGCACTTGTGACTTTTCCTTTATATCGTAGGAACGCACATTCAAACGAGCAGATTCAACGAAGATTTCGTTAAATTCGCGTACAACCTCGGTAAATGGAGTTTGCATAAACAAAGTTCCACCGTAGCGTAAAAGAGGCACTAAAGAGGCTTACGTATCTCGAAGTTCGGCTCATTCGGCACAGGATTGTTTTGCTCCTTGTCAGAGGACACGAGTTCTCCAGAGAACAGTGCAAATATCACCACACAGAGTATCCCTCGCTGTTGTAACATTCCGGAGAACTTCGACCTCGATCGAGGTCCCCTGGTAGATTTTTAATTGGTCCTGGACGTTGTACGTGTTTTGAAATATTTCTAAATTTTTCCACCAACTTCGAACGTTAAGGTGCAACTTAGAAATTCTATTTTAAATATCCAAGAGTCGATGGTCCCTTTTTAATTTGTCGACGAATACACTTTGTAAGTTTTATCAACCGTTCCGGTACACCGATTCACTGTTCTTTTAATCAATTTGTTTCTTTCTTTTAATTTTCGATAATTCGGGGATCTTTTAATCTTCTTTCGAAAGCAACACGAGATGTATAAAGAAAAATGGAATGAATGGAAGCGAGGGATCAGGGTGGTAGCTGAATGGATCGATTCTCGTAAACTAAACACGCGTTCTCTTCGTATTCTGTCTTATATGCGAGGGTTCCCCTACTCTGACTTCTGTTCGGCTGTAAACGCCATCGTATTCGACTCTGCTTTTTGTTTCTCACAGGTGTAATTCATACTTTTTATCTTGCAGCTGGAAAAATAAGTTTCTGACGAAAATTGAAAAATAATTCATCGGATGCTTCCGTGTTTTCGCATTCCATTTATTTCCATTTCATATGTTAGCCGAAGTAAAACAATATTTTACCTTTACCAGATTGGTAATTGAAATATCGTTAATGAAATAGAATTAATTACAGCATTGTTTCATAGGTTAAAATAACAATTAACGCCCACTGAATATCAACGGATACCATGTCTATAACATATTTTCAATTTAAATTAATTATCCTGTCACGTTATTTAAAAAGTCATAATATTCGTCTGTCATACAATTAACAACGCTATTGCCATACCGTGAATAATAAAGAAACGTGTCTGCAATTCACTGTCACGCATTTCTGTCACAAGTCTATTATTACACGCTTATGTGGTTCGATAAACCGTAGGTAGATCTAGAACCCTCGTTATATTAGAATTATCGAGACCGTGCAATTTTCTGATCGAATTTACCTGTTATAGACAACATTTAATTTTAGGAGTCTAACGTTACGCAATATGGTGTCGAGGAAACATAACAGTCGGACCCAAAAAGGCGTATACCTATGCACTGCCGAACGAACGGTATAATTTGCGCAATCGCGCTTCGTTGGATCATTGCGAGAGCTCTACATCATCCGGACGACCTATTACGAGTATTTTAATGATATTAATTCAAGCAGATGGAGAATGCTCATTGCGAAACCACCTTGTTTCGCTTGCTCGTGCTCTTCTTTGTAATTTCACTCATTTTGTTCCGCGCCATTGTCTTCTGTATTTTCATAAATGACGAAAGTCAGTTTTGGAGAATCGTCGAAATTAAAGGAAAAATAGATGTTCGTGCGAATAATTGTTCGGTGCGTGAAATATTGTGTAATAAATGAAACGTTTAGGTTGGCTTTTATAGGAGAGGGATCGAGGTTGTGGCAAGCGAAATTTTATTGGGAAACATTCATCATCGTCTGTTTTTTTCGAGATCGCAAGGACGACGAACATTGGAATTCTCTATGAAGTGCTTCTCAACCGTTGTTATTCTTAAACCGGTTATTTACAAATTTTCTTTTCATTCATATCGATAAATATTATTTCCATAAATTCTTTTTAATAAAATTTAATAAAATCGTCTTTATTTCCTCGCTTAGCATCGATTAAATTAGGCAGAATGCGATAAGATTAAATTTAACTAAATTTTAACTCGAACTAATTTTACTCCCAGAGTGATTGAACAGAAAGTGCTTGAATATGAATTATATGTAATAAGAGTAAATCGATTGGGACAAAATTAGAGAAGAAACAGGAATTTAATGGTTGAAAGTATTATGTAAAAATTGCTAGTTTATTTTAAGCCTCTGGCGAGAAGTATTAATAGCTGATAATAGTAAGTCACGATGTTCGTTGCATAGCTGGCCATGAATGTATAATGCGGCATTGTCTTTTCGAATTGGTCCTTGATAGAGATCGTGCACTGCATGCTTGACAAATTACTCGGAAATAAGCAACGAAGAAAGCTACATTTTGCAAGACTTCTTCCAATTTGATAGAATAAATATATACCTAAAAGTCTGCAATTTATTTTCAAAAGTTCACGATCAGAAATTCATATTTCACGTATGATCCTTAATTAAATTTAATTGAATTGCGTAGATAGAGATGTTACAAAGAAATAACTTAATTTTTTACTTTACGAATCTGCCTTAAATGCATATACTTACCGCTAGAAAATGTAAGATTTTGCTTGAAAAATTGGAAGAATTTAATTATTATATTTTTAAATACCCCACTAGTGAACACGGTCTTTTATTTAATTCATTAAATTAATTATCGATTTTCGTTAGTTTAGATAATTTAAATTATTTAGATACATTTTCAAGCAAATATCTTTGATATAAAAATATTAAGAAAATATTAAGCAATTTTTCCTTTTAAATATCAGAAACAAAATAACGATGATTTAGTTCCTTGAATTTTCTACTTTTAACAAAGGAAAACATAGGCGTTATATGAGTAAATATTTCACGAACCTATTCCGGTTTTAATGATCCAACTAGTCGCTTAGGCACCTTGAAACTTTCGGATGTTTCACGGTGTTTGAAGAAATTCCGAAAGAACTTGTCGCTGTTGCCCAATTTGTAACTCGTAAGAAACCAAATGTCGACATCAATGATTTGTAATACGAGATTCTTATAAATGTACATAAATACTTTAGAAATGAAAGAGCAGTTCCGCAAATGGAAATAAGGAACATTGAGAAGGATATGGAAAATCTTCATAATAATTTTTCTAAAGTTTCTAAGTGTAAGTATGTGATATAAGCGACAGATTAAAACTTGTAACAAAATGAGCAATGGTAATAATAGAAAATTACAAATTTCAACAGAAATTACAAATTATAAAATAGAAGAAAAATTACAAATTTCAAATTCGACAGAAAATTATCATAGACAAGAAGACAGGAGTATCAATTATCTATCACCAATAATTAAATTAAATGCAAACAGATCTCGTAACAATTATTCAACTGTACAATTGCGATAACGAGTACACTATATCCTGTGATATTCATGAAATTGTTTCGACCATTGTTTGGCAGTACCATCGCACATCGATTATTGAAAATGTCAAACGTATTATAAGAATTGCGAAGGTGTTTCGGAATATATGCAAACTCCCACTGGGAATCATTTACGAATCCGTTACGTTGTAGTCGGCTGAGGTACATTGGCTTGAACGTGACTATACATACTTTCGCGAAGATGAACGAAAGGCTTTTAAAGGCTATTTTCTTGCGACACCGGTACATAATTGCAAAGGAAATTACTCATTCTTGTGGACTGCTTAGAAAAATCAATATTTTGTAAACTTTATTAAATAAAATAAAAGTTTTATAAAACATTGTTTTTCTTAATTTTCTAATCTCTGAGTCTTTTAAATAATTTCTTATCTCAAGCAAAGAGAACGAAGCAAATGCATTGGAACATTGCAGCAACAAAAACAGTTTTCACGCACATAATCATTCGCGCAGTTAGGATCTTTTCGGTAATACCAATGGCAATGATTGACGCTGAAAGGAAACAGGATAATATAAATGTCTCGTAAATTAACAATTTTTAAAAGCGACCCATTAGCTGACCTAAAATTACATCAACAGACCCGTTGATTTCTCAGTCTTTAATTTCTTCGTAGCGTCTTTCGCAATAGTATCATTACTTCACGACAATAGTTGAGCAGAAAAGAATTACGACCCTTGATTCGTAATTCGAATCTGCTGCGGGTAAAACATTATTTAAACAAAGAGCCTTGTTCATATTTATAAAACCATGCATATGAATCTATTTAAATTCCTGAAATAACAAATATAAGTTAACTGAACTTATATTGTTATAAAATTCAATCGTAAATTAATCAAAAATATCAACATCCAAGTCTTATTTATCGTGTACTAAAATAATATTGTACACGTGTGATTGCTTTTATCTTTTGACACCATTTGAGAATCTACTGTTAATATATTTTTCAAAAACTGAAGTTTCGAAGTAAGAAAATTTATAATCTGGAAACTAGATAGTTTTATTTCCTATTTATTATAGAATTCTAATAAGAATACAAGGAATATGATATAACGATTTACTTTCGGTATAAAACTGAGCGAGGACTTTTATTAGCGCCTACAATGCTGTTCTACGATTTACACACTCGTCGTGCGGTTATCTTCGTTTAGGCTCGTGAGTTGTAGGAAACTGTAAAATTAATTATCGAATACTAATTACATATTTTCAAATAATTAGAGAAGCGTTGAAAGAAATCTGGAAACTATCTTGAAAAAATGTTTAGAAATTTTTAAGAGAAAATAGAAATAACTGCAATTTGTAATTTTATAATAACTTCGAAAACAATATTTAAAAACAAGATATAAAAATTTAGAAAAACTTACAAAATCAATCGATACATCGCGTTAACGTGTTTACAGGAGAGAAAAAAATATATAATATTTTACTTCAAGGTGGCAATAATACATCCTCCGGAAACACCGAGAAAATCGTATTCGTGAAATTCGTGACCAACATGGCAACGGTCTCCTCCAATTTCGGCCTTATCTCCGTTATCACCGTGCTCCAGTTCTCGTTCAGGAAAAGATTCATGGCGGCTGAAAGCGTTTCGTCGCCGTTGAACAAATTATCTAAGCGTACAGTGGCATGGCCGATCTCAAAATCGACATAAATGTCCTCCACCTTCTGATGAATCAACCCTGTTCTCTCGTTACGATAACGTTCCAACTGTAGAGCGACAATGGCATCGATGTCTGTGAAGTTTCCGTATCCGATACCATTTCCTGTGATTGGTAGCATTATAATTCTACCATCCATGATGTAATTCGCTACCATTTCCAGTCGTGGAATGTAGAGTTCCAGGTGTACTACATTTTTGTCTAAGTCGAAGCTGGTAAAAAGATATTATTCGTAGAGTTAATCTAAATACCTAAGATTATGAGATTATTATTTAAGAAAATGGTTTATTTTTATTATCATTACATATATATATTTATTATTATTTTTTGTTCTTTTAATTTCCTAGAGGATTAGCGACGCATGGTTCGTTAGTTTTTCATTAATCCAGATATGATACAATACAGGCGAAAGATACGACGAAAATTATTTATTATTATTTTTTGTTCTTTTAATTTTCTAGAGGATTAGCAACGCATGGTTCGTTAGTTTTTCATTAATCCAGGTATGATACAGTACAGGCGAAAGATACGACGAAAATTATTGCGATTAAATATTTCGGAATATACGAAGTTCACCGACGAATGATCAAAGCCCGACAAATCGATATACAAGAAATTGCAAATCATTGTATTGGAAATTAAGCGATTGCGGATTTTATCAATAGGTGAAATTGACAAAATCACTTAGTTGCCAACCCAATATATTGTACGTATTTCGAGCGACGTGTGAGTTGTAGAAAGGAAGAAAAATACATAGAGATATTGATTGAAATTCAAGGACATACCTGATGCTCTTAGGTACGAAGTTAGTGCCACCATAAATGGACACGTTGTTATACCTCGCGTGAATATAGATTGGCCCGGAACTTTGGTCAATTTGGATTTCTTCTAAGCGAAGAGGTTCACACGTTGGAATCCCAAGAGCTGTTATTCCATTTTTTAAATACGGTTTCAAGGAAACGACACTTTGCATTATACAATCGTCGAGGAATGGATCGCTTTGATGACATATCTTCAAGAACGATGCTAAAAAGGAAGCACATTGTTTTATTTCGTTGATTCAAAATGAAAAATAAAATTCGATGTCTTATTCGTTAAATATTTCGTTCTTATCCGTTACTCGTATAAAATGTCCGAAAAAGAAACGATACGAATTATACTTTATATAAAAATTCGCACGAAACATTTCATTTTCATCGATTATAAATAAAGTAGGTGTTTTCACTTCGTTAGAAGAAAAATCCAAGTATTATGTTCGCTGTTTATTAGCCTTCGATCTCGTCCGGAATTCAAGTTAGACCTGAATTCTTTGTACAATTAGATCGCATGATTTTCTATACGATTCATCGTGAATTAAATGCTAGTGTTCCAGTTTGCAATGATAACGTCTGCATACCGGGTGTTTTAAGAATCAATCCTGACAATATGTCGTTGTGTCATATAGCAGCGAAATATTTAAGAAGCAAATATTTCATTTTAATTTAAAATATTCCTATAAATTGCTTCGTCGAATAAAATTACACTGGATTCTTACACTTAATCTTGGACAATATTTAGTTTCAGTTAAATAATGTAAATATTATTTCAAATATTGCGTTTAGATAGAATGAAAAAAAAAAGAAGATACAGTAGAAATCGTGTAGCGACATTTACGAGAAAAATAGGGTACTTACGGATTTCAGGAACAAGTAAAGAAATCGACGAGCGACTTGTCACCAAAAGTATTAAGAAAAATCCGTAGAACCGCATTGTTGTTGTCACGACGGTGTTCGATCGCGAAATAATTTTGTGCCATCGAAAATTGCCAACGTGTTATTGATTGCCAATCTGCTGACATCGTCATTTCTATTACACCTGCAGTTCCTTTTAGGGGTTACGCAATTTAATGTTCCGATATTTGTCTTGCGTCAATTTTATCGCACTTGTCATTCCTTCGTGAAGGAATTTCCTCGCAAATTAATTCATCGACTCGAGAAACTGAAAGATATTGTTTCGAATCTTCCTAACGAACGTTCCCTTGCCAGTGTTTTTAATCGGATATGAATTTTCCATCAAAATACCAAGCTTTTACACCGACTTGAAATAATAAGATACATTTTTATTTGACCATTATTTCTTTGTGATAATAATACGATTGTTACATCGGGCACGTAAAAATACTTAAATCTAACAAATTTTCATCGAGGCGTAACAAAACACACGAAAATGGATCAGCATGTTCGAATCTAAATAAAAAATCCGAAGGAAACCTTCAACGATATTTTTATAATAAAACTTAGCCTCACCTTCACCCAAAAACCAAGTTCGTCGCACCTCCCCACATTTTTCCCAACCTTCCCACCGAATCATCGAACAAAGCACAACTACGCTCCCCATTAAGCGTCATGTCGCAGCTACCACATACTGCGATGTACATTTAAGAACAAGCTATTACGCAACAGCGAACAACTCCGGTGGTGCGCTATTTGCGGCCATAATGTCTTCCACTTAAGGTCGGGGAAGGACCTTGCCCCCTATTACGTCGCATCGAGGGCGAAACGCGATGTTCAAGTCGCTAGAGGAAGAAAGAAAAGAAGTTGTATAGACAACTAGAAAGAACGCCTAGTTAACGAGTATCAGAAGAATCAGAGTGGTCCATGGCCCAGATCCGATGCCCTTCCACGATGCTGTATAAAACGCATCATCCACTCGCGATCGCTGCTTTTGCACGAGCACACGCCGTAGGGACAAACGTCGAACAACACTAACCAGTGATAGTAATGATCGTGAAGGATCTTGTCGACTCGACATTAGTCTTGGATTAATCGAGAACAGCCTGGAAGAAGAACGAAACCTCGGTCCAGGTGCCAAAGTGTGGATGTGCGCCGCCCTCTTCTGCTTCCTTCTGGTCTTCATCGTGGTTGCCATCGTTGTTCTCTTGGTGTTTAAGCCTATCTACGTCTGGGAGATGAAAAGCGTGGAATAGAAACTTGTCCGAAGACTTCTGATTCTTCAGCAATGAGATTCTAAACGTTCAATCGTAACACTTAGAAATGTTATAATATAAAACACCTATGATACTTTGGTGCACTTCCTTTGAAGATTCTTTACTTCTGAACAGCTATTTCGAAATATTCGATTGAGATATTTCAAAAATAGTATTTAAAGATACGTAGAAGTACTCGAGGGCTAAAGAACTGAATCTACGGTAGCGAGCAAGGTTTCAAGAAATAAATACACGCGATGACGAAGGTTGTAGCTGTCATATTCCTTGCTCTGAGTCTGCTGACCCTGGCGAACTGTCAGGGATCCTTGCTAGAGATGTCTCAACAACTGTGGACGAAGCTTTTATCAGGAGGATTCTCTAAAGCTGGCAAGCTAGATCCACTAAAGGTGCCGGTAATCAAAGTGGATCAATCCGAAGGAAATACCAGCTACAGAATAATTCTTCGGAACGTGGAGATCACTGGACTAAACGAATCCACACTGGACAGCATCCACATAGCTCGAGGCCGATTGAAATCGAACCTCAGCGAGCTAGAAGCTGGCTACGTGAGCTACAGCGACCTGAGAGATCTGGACTCCATCAGATACAGATTCCATACATTGATCAAGGAACCTAAGGAACAAAACGAAAGCTTCGAGGCTATTGTCTCTGCCACTAATCAAGAGAACAAGTTCGTGGCTAGTGCCAGGGAGCAAGAGAGTCGTTTCGAAAGACTCAGACAATACGATCCCTTCTTGATGAAGATTCAAGCGGAGAAGATGAAGGAACCAGCGACTGATCGCCCTCAGAGTAATCACAAACTGCATCGAGAATCTGGATTTCGGACTTACAGCATGGAAGACGCAAAGGTTCTCTCAAAATCGGAAACCAGTCGAATTATAGAGAACTTGAGGTATCCTTCGGACGTTCAAATGATTTACGCGATGAGCGCAATCAATTCTGGTTTCAACTCGAAGAATTCTGAGCAGAAACAGGATTACGATAGATCCAGATCGGGTGCTTACGATGGTCGGAACAAAGAACACGGCAGACAGAGTTATAGAAGAGAGAATTTCGCCAGGGGAAGAACCGAGGAACGTCACGAGGATGTTGAGACTTCGGCATCGGAGAACGTGGAGAGTACGGTGACTGGTCAGAGGTTTGTTCCTGGACAGATTAGCAGAGAACAGGCGTATGGTAGAGAATCGAAACGTCTAGAGGAACAACCAGGTTATATCGATATAGTTTACGCAGATGAGAACCGTAATGGCGGCGTGAGACGTTTTGGGAACGACAGAATGAAATCTAAGGGGGATGCAAGAGTGTTTGGTACGAAGGATGCTTCAAAGGTAAGGAAATGATTTTACCCGTTGAGAGAACGAAGATTTTTGTAATGTTCTTTCGAAGAGGAAATGTTTGATTTGCTAATTTCGTAGAAAAGTCGACGATAACAATTTTTCTACGTGTTTCCTGTAGGTTAATCGACTCCTCTTCCTGCTTTTGATGTTGCGAGTTTCCGCTAGAAAGTAAAATAAAAAGGGATAACATTCATTTTTCTATAACTTCCTGGTATTTAATAAATAGTACTCCGCTATACTAATGCGATTAGGCAGAGAGATAGTATAACAATTCTACATTAAATAGCAGCGTTCGAAGATACGTGTGAACCTACTGTCGCAGATACGTTAATCTGAGATAGTAGATAGAATTGTAGAATTATTTTTCTTGCGATTATGTTAGGACCAACGTCTTGTAAATAAGTAAAATTACCATCACGATGAAACGAATTTTTTTAATACGTTAAAAATCCAGCCAGAAATCTATGAAAACGTATAATAATTTTTTTAGAAACATTGTATGGAAATTTTTAAAAGTTGCGCGGGAAATCTTAGAAACGATATCGAGAAACTCTCGAATGTAACTTGCAGAACATTTTAAAAAATCCTACGGAGGCATTAAAAGTTCCTAAGAAATAGAAAATTCTTAAAATGTTAAGAACAGCAAAATTTCTGAAATAAACCGCCAGACAAACTTTTAAAATCCGTGAAATCCTAAAATTTTCTTTCCGGGAAGCTGATCGAAAAAACTTTAGAAAGAGACAATAATGCGTACCTTTGTCAGAGTCAGCATTTAATCATCAGAAAATTAGCAGGTACTCGAACCAACAATTTAACGTCAACCTCGTTATTCGTAAACACCATAATAGCAATTTACTATTATAAATAGATATTGCTGTATATATATATACCTTCATCTTGTTGCTAAGCTGCGGTACAGTAGTTAACCGATGTAAACAGGATATCCTCGAGAATAAACGGGTTATTAGTCGCAACTGTACCGAGGGAGAATCCTTGACGAAGAGGAACGACGCGGTTAAGGCGGCCATAGAGGCGAAGAGATTGGATGGTTTGTCTAGATACGCGAAAAACTATCAGGAGAAGCAAGGATACTTCGAAGAAGGGATGCAATTGGTCTATCATTATGGTGGAATGGATCGAAAGAATCCTGGGGAAGAGAAACTTGCTCAAGGGGCTAGATACAAGCGCGCTCATAGAGGCAATGATACCGATGTAAGTACGCGCTATGTTCTTCTTAGTGTGCAATTCGTATCTCTACTTGTTTTAGTTATGGAGTTATTTTCCTGTTTTCTTTTTTTCTTTTTTTTTTTTGTCGTTCGTTAGAACTTGAGAAGAATTTCTCACGGATTTTCAAATCGACGAGGTCACTTTTCTCCTTTCTTATTTTAAATAATTAATCTGTATTATTATTCTACCGAATTCTGTTATTCTATTTATTATTCTATTTATTATTATTCTCGGTAAGGTTTCTAATTATCTTTCAATTTCTTTTCTACCGATTTCCAAGGATGATGTTATGCACGTCATTATGAAAATCAGAATTCCCCTGCTTCGCGTGAAATCCGATTATCATCTGATGGGTAAAGTTGGCCAGGAACTAGTGAGAGGAAACGGGCAGCTGAATGGCAACTTCAGTGAGTGTGTTCTTTGTGTCAAGTTTATTGGCTGCGGGAAAAAAGTGTTGGTTCTTGATTGTTACTTTCTCCTAGTGCGTAATATTTTTACTTATGATGGAAATTTTGTCGCGAAAAGAAAAGTTTTATGATAGGAAATTTATAGTTACAAAGAGAATGACAATAAGGTTAAAGATCGAGAAAGAATTAAAAGAACTATTCTAAACAGAGAAGAATAATTATAAAAGTTAGTCGATATTTTTAAAATAATATTTGTTGATTTGAACGAATGCAGCCGATGTTGTTGGCGACTTCACGATCGAATTGAAAAAAGCCAGTGGACAGGATGCGTTAATTGTTCGTGCAGCAAGAAGCAAATTGAATTCCAGGAAGCAAAATGTCTCTCTTCAAGGAATGAACGAAGAGGGGCCGGTAAAGTCCATTCTAAGTCACAGTGAGTTTTTTGTGTTATTTATATATATATTTTCTAATCATTGACTCTTCTAATTAAATCTGACTCACACAATATATATATTAACATGTCATACTAAATATAGTATTTCTTTGAAAGGAGATTTTAATCTTTCAAAGCGGTAAAAAGCTATGTCTAAAACAGCCACGAAAACATAACGCGTTACAAATAAAATTTCAACTCGAAGTGAATATACAGGGTGGTTGGTAACTGGTGGTTAATAAATTTAAAATAGTTAAAAATTTTTCGTTCGAGGCCTTGTTTTCGAGAAAATCGACTTTGAATTTACGACGTACGCGTGCACGTCTCGTTATAACGAATCTCACTGTAGATTTTTAAAAATATTTTAAAAAATTAAAAAAAAAATCTTTATTCTATATTTTCGACTTCTTTTTTCGCGTAGAATCATCCCCTTTCCG